CCCCAGCCGGCCCAGTCCAGCTCAGAGCCCCCCGGAATTCGCCCCACCCGCTCCCACCTGCTGCCCAGGCCCCGCCCACAGCCCCTCCGCCCTCTGCCTCTCAGCCCCCAGGGGCTCCCCTTGCCTCACCCGGGCCTCCTGCTCCTGTCCAGGCTCCCCCTGCCTCCCCAGCAAGCCCACAGCAGGAAAGCAGACCCTGGGAGTCCACACTGGGGAGGGGAGCAGGAGGGACAGAGGCCAAACCCAGGGACTCAGGGGAGCAGGGAGGGCACAGTGGGGCAGGCTCTGCCCAGAGAAGAGCAGGCAGAGCTCAGGGACCGCAGGGCCCTGGGAAGGACTGAGGAGGGACTGAAATGTGCCTGGAGAGCTGCAGTTCCCCTGTGGAGGGACAGGCGAGGGCCAGGACCGTGTTCTGGGGAAAGGGAAAGGCGGTGCCATGTGCAGAGGGGTCCAAGACTCCGTGATCTTCATCAAGGAACCAGGAGACAGCGGGCACTGAGGCACAGGAACTAGGTGGGCGGGAGTAAGGACTGGGGTAAGGGCTGGCCGGAAGTCACCTGGATCCGGCCCTGTAGTTGACTCCAGGATTGGGGTTTTAAGTAGTGGGAGGCTGTGGAATAGGTTGGAGGAGCTGAAAGTGAGGACCCACACAGGTCCGCAGTCCTGTATCTGAATTCTCAGTTCAGAAAGCCACGTCCTGTGGAAACTGTGCTGCCAACTTCATTTGAAAGGAATCACGGGGTGAAGGTGGAAAAGGAGGAGGAAGAGAACAAGAGGAGTTCTCTAGAGCAGCTCTGGATACTGTCCTTACTGTCTGTGATGGGTGTGATTTTTAAGAGCACAGTGAGTGCCAAGGCCAAGAGCCACCCCACATCCCCAGAAAGGAAGGATCAGGAAACCACGGTGAATGCAGGCCCACTCGGCTCCTCTCCACAGCCCTGAGCCCTGTGACTCTGGCTCCTCCTTGAGTCACAGTCACCATGGACGGTGGACGCTCTGAACTGAGGGAGGAGCCAGGACAGGGCAGCTGAAGACACAAAAGGTGATTCCAGATGTGCTCAGGAAGGGGCAGAACAATAGGGTGTGTTTAAAGCAAGTGGGAAGATTTCCAGGGAAACTAAAGGCAATGCGTAGTTAACAGTAAAATTTTTAAAATATTTAAACACTATTTTCCTATCACAGCATATACAGCAGGTCTATGCATATGTGTATATGCATGAATCTGTGTTTACGTATGTATGTGTGTATGTATATCTTTAGTGGTTTAAACTTTATATTTAAGAGAAAAAGTCAGTTTTTTAAATAGACTACTAAATATGACAAAATTGATGCAAGCATTTGGCTTGATCAATAAAAAGAAATATAGAATAATTGCAAAAGTTCAAAGCACGTTATGGAAAGAATGTGTCCCAATCCTGTTAGTTTTCCACCACTGTAACAAAGCACCGAAGATCACCAGCGTATAAAGAAGAAGAACTGATTTGGGCTCACAGGGTCGTTTCCCTCCATGGTGGGGAAATGCGTTGCTCCTGTGCCTGTGGAGCAGCGTGACCCAGAAGGAGGCTCACAGAGAACAACACGCTCATCTCAGGGCTGGGGCAGGAAAGACAGAGACGACACTGGCACCCGCAGTCCCTCTGAGGCTCCCGTCCATGACCTAAGCCTCCCCTTGGGCCACGGCTTCAAGTTTCTTCTGAGCTGAAGCCAAAGCTTTTAACACATGGACTTTGGGGACGTCCACACCCGAAGTACAGCAGCAAGCAGGCTGCACTTTCTACCACATACACACAGTTGTTCAGAATCAGCACGGTGATGACTAATAACGCATAAAGTACGAGGGGACATCGAGAAGGTTCAAAGATGAAAAGTGAACCTCTTAAAATTGCAATGACTGGATTCCATAAGGCAGAGGCAGATTTCTCAAACAGCCTGATTGAATTATTTGTTATCTTCTTCAAATAGAGTCCTCTGATTCTACAACAGAGTCCAGGATACAATCTTTGCTCAGAAAACGATGTGTGCTCTACATGAAGCATCCAGTGTCCTGTTGAACTGATCACTGTGAGGCAGTAGAAAGGAGGAAGGGGCTCAAGCTCCACCATCCTTTAATGCTGATGACCACCACATCTCTCCCACTGCCTGAGAGAACCTATGACAGACTTGCTCTTTTCCGTCCTGATTACAGAAATTCACATTACAGAAAATGCCACCTGAAGAAAAAAAGGACATTTTCCTTAAAATTTATCTTCCCTAATGGATGGATCTCTTATTGTGTGGGAGATCTGTGCACATTTCAAAGATTTTCAGGAAAAGAAACAGCCTTGCTGGTGAAAGGACAGAAAAGAAGCAGAGGTAGATGGAGCCCACCAAGGCTAGTTAAGAAGAAGACAGGGCACAGTGAAAGAAATCCTTTGAAATTGGGGTTGTGACCCCAGTAGGCCAATGAGTTTCCTTGCCTTATGATTGGCATCCAGCCTATGGATGGTCCTGACCTCCACACTCTCCTGAGACTCCTGCAGTACAGACACAGTAAAGCACAATAGATTGCTCATAGTTTCCTTGTATCTTGCTTAACTATAGATTGTAATATATTTTCTTCAAACTAATTCAAACCATTTTGTGGGTTGATGAATTTTCCCTTTCTCTCACAAAGCAAAATAATATATGGAAATGTTGTATTTGGATTAGTTTGACAGCATCATTTCTAGGTCCCTCAAGGTCCTGATGAAAGATGTGATTTGAGGCTGAAGTGTTCACTGGAGAAGACTTGAAAAGGAATCGTATCTCTACAGAAGGTTTTTGCACAGGTCCCATACGGAGGACAGACACACACAGGCCCCTACTGTGGAAAGGAATCCATGTGATGAAAATAGGAAGTCACCACGGAAAAGGCCACAGATATTTAAGTAAGAGGGCCTGGGACGTGAGGAATCTCACTCACTCCCCCATTCTCAGGACCATGGCTCAGCACCTGAGCAGGGCACTTACCTCTCCTGTCCCAGGCCAAAGCCAGAGGAGGACTCAGCACCATCAGTGTCACAGTCAGAGCTGCCACCCAGGAGCCTCCGGGGAGCCCTGGACACAGCATGCTGGAGAACGGGACAGGAATGGTCAGAGGGAGTCAGAGAAGCATCACCTAGAGAGAAGTAGGCTTCCTGTGCTCTTACATCCCAAGTGATAAGAAACAAGTTCATTGCTTGGATGCTGGGTTGGGGAATTTCAGGGATGAAGAACCAATTGGCATCAGAGATGAACATCAGTTGCTGGTCAGAGATTCAGGATGCAGGTTCTCTTTTGAAACTTCAAATTTGCTTCATTACAGTAATGGTTTCAATTAAAGGCTTTCTTACCTACTAACTCTTTTGTTTGTTTGTTTTTAAGGGGTGTTAATATGGAGTTCAGGCTGCCCTTGAACTCACCATGTTGCCCAGACATCCTCCTGCCTCATTCTCATGAGTTCTCTGATAAAGCTTTGGGCCCAGCTTTGAAAGACTTTAATTGGAGACCATGGTGAGTCAGCTCTGTGCTGGCCTGAGATGCACTCACAAGTTTGAGCTTTGTGGCACCACTCGTCCTGAAGTTGAAGACAGAGCTAGGCGAATGTCTCTAATTCTGGAGCTGTTCAAGGATGAACAGGGCGGAGTGAAGAACCCTGAAAGCAGGAGACCTTCAGGCTGACCTTGACTGTACCGTAATTTAGCGTTGTTGGCTGTGTGATAGTATCCAGCCCCTCATAGCGCCAATGCAAGTACCACGATCGTTCAGAGATGTCCACACTGCAAAGACTGTGATTCACTGGGCACCTTAAGGAGTTACCAGTCCCCGGTAACTGGGAAAATGACAGAAAGGAAGGTGCTGAGTAGAGCCACATTTCTGATGCACTCTTAGAGCCTGAATAATAATCAATTGCTGATTCAGTGAAGAGGTTGTAGAGCCTGTCTCCTGCCGCGCCCACTGATTTCCTAGCACTGGCAGAGTACACATGTGCAACCAGCACCCGCCTGCGAGGAATCAGGGTCTTCAGAGGTTTTTTGTATAACAATTTAATCCAAGAACATGGCTCAATGATTGTGCATAGGAAAGGATGCCTGGTGTGGGAGATCAGGAAAGGACTCAAGTCAGTTTGCTGTCCGGTAATTAACATTTTATGTGAAAATCCAGGCGCAATGATGGTGCCAACCTCTAATCTCAGTGCTCTGGGAGGCTGAGGTAGGACGATCACAAGTTCAGGTACAGGCTGGACAGTTCAGTGAGATTTCTTCACAAAATAAAAATTTTAAACTTCTGGAAATGTGGTTCACAACTGAGGACTCAAGATCAATCCCCAAAGAACAGGAGGAGGAGAAAGAAGAAGAAAAGGAGGA